GGACTACTAGTTTCTATTGAGATTGTAGTCCATCACGGGAGCAAGCTTGGCGCGGTGGAAGTAAAAAAAAAGAGTGTGGTGTGCAATATAGTACATTATACAGCGGCGCAGTGCAGAATACCAGCAGCTATAGCGGAATGCAGCAATAGTACATTATACTATAATGTACTATTGCTGGGATTTGTAGTCCTCTGTAGCTGGGCTTATTCTGCATGGCGCTGACTATAATGTACTATTGCTGGGATTTGTAGTCCTCCATAGCTGGTGGTATTCTGCAGTGCGCTGTATAATGATTATACTGCACAATGCAGATTACCACTGACCAGTTATAGAGGAACTACAAATCCCAGCAATAATACATTATACAGCGCGATGGAGAATACCAGCAGCGATAGAGGAACAACAAGTCCCAGCAATTATAATATATTATACAGGCTGCCTAATATATTATTGCTGGGATTTGTTGTTCCTCTATCGCTGCTGGTGTTCTACAGTGTGCCGCTTTTTTTTTTTTTTTTTTTTAGACAGGAAACCTTAAAACAGGTCCCCCTTACCTGTTTCTAAACTCTTGTAAGTCGCGGCGGCGGTGTGTGCGGTGGGCATGGCGTCCGTGGCGTGCATAGCGTAACTCGTGTATGGAGCTGCGAACAGGCGGGCGTGAGCGGGAAATTTAAATTTTAGCTGACGAATCGACGATGGAAAACGCTGACAACGTTTACCATCGTCGATTTTAATCGACCTTATCGAATAATTGTTGCAGCTCTAAAACTTTGCGATGAGACGGGAGAGCTGACAGACCTCAATGTGACGGGTTCTCTTTATGGTGACATCAGGGGTCTAGGAGAGCCGAGGGGAGATGTCTCTGTCCCCGCCGATACCCGTCATGCCGGTACCGGGCCCTCAGGAGGGGCAGCGGGGCCCGGGAAGCAAGGCGGGGGAAGTGATCTGTAAGGAGCAGGGGCCTGAAGCCGGCAGGGAAAGGGTTAAAGTACGGCTGCAGCAACCAGCCAATCAGAATCGTTGTCGGGGGTTCTTATTAACGATGAGGAGCCGATCTGAACGCATTGGTCAGCCTGCTATTGGCTATTCCTCCCACCCGCTGTCTGCTGGGTGTACATTTAGCTGCCTCGGCATTCCCCAGCTACTGAAGTGGGAACTCCAATGTGCCGTCACATGGGGGGCTCGTGATTCCCCTCCTGGATGGGAGGAGCAGGGGGCGTGGCTTGCTGTGTTTGTGGAGACACACACAAGGGTGGCTCCATAGGTCCCTGCAAGGGAAAGGAGTCACCAGGCAGATGAAGGCGATCTCAGCAGTCTCTCATGTCACTTTAATGTATGGCCCCTCCCCCACCTGGGTGCAAAGCTCCTGCAGTCAGCATCCCCCCATCCTGCTGGGACGCCGCATACGTTGGAGTGAGCGCACTGAGCTCAGGTTACCCCCCTCCCCCATGAAACGTTTCTCATTGCCCGCCATTTTTATTTCTTTTTGGATAAAATTTCCCTTATCGGGTCTCAGCACAGACATGAAGGTCGGTGCAAAACAACACCGACACCAGATTCCAGAACAGGGCCACAAAATGACAGCACATGTAACACTGGAAACTCTTCCCCCACACACCGGAAATAACGAGAACTCTCCCACACACACCGGAAATGGCGGTAACCTTCCCCCAGACGCAGGTTAGCCCCGGCTCCTTAGCGCATTGGCTCCAGCTCTATGACGCGGAGGAAGACACAGTTGCCAGGAGACGAAGAGGAGGCCCTATTTGCAGCGGTGATGACGTGTACGCATGCGCGCTGTAGGTGATGCTGGCTTGGCCGAGTGGCTCGCCGGGAAATGTAGTGCCAATTGACTGACGTCATGCCAGAGGAAAGAAGCGGAAAACTACAACCCCCATAATGCACCGCGCTCTGCACCGGCATCCCAGTAAGGAGAGCTCTAATTGGTCGTGGAGCCGGCGGCACGTGGAGGAGAGTGTGATACTCGGACAGGTGAGGAGACCCGGGGGAGGGAGTGAGGAGGCCGGTACAGGAGAGGTGAGGTGCCTGGGATACAGGGAGTGACGGAGGTGGGTGAGGGGTGCCAGGGAGTGACGGAGGTGGATGAGGGGTGCCAGGGAGTGACGGAGTTGGGTGAGGGGTGACGGTGGTGGGTGAGGGGTGTCAGGGAGTGATGGAGGTGGTTGAGGGGTGTCAGGGAGTGACGGAGGTGGGTGAGGGGTGTCAGGGAGTGACGGAGGTGGGTGAGGGGTGACGGTGGTGGGTGAGGGGTGCCAGGGAGTGACGGAGGTGGGTGAGGGGTGACGG